ATTTTTCTGCAGGTAGATATCCATTTTTTCTAGCACCACTTGTTAAAAAGGGCATCACCTTCCCATTTGATATTTTTGGGGCCCTTATCGAAGATCAGTTGTCTGTATGTTGATGATTTTATTTCTGGGTTTTCAGTTCCACCCCTTCATTCTTACGTGTCTCAAATTGGCAACAGAGTATGTAACTACCACAACTTCCTCTAGCATTTATTGGCTCTTTATTTTGATAAAGCAATGGAATAAAGGTAAGCTGAAAGATAAGTAGGAATTAAAGACATGTGTGTACACCCTATAAACAACTATAAACAACAAGAAAACACCTGTTGTGGTCGAATGCTCCAAGGGTTTCTTTCCTAGGTTGTAATCTTTGTAGAAGCCGATATCTGGACTTTTCTCTGGTGGTGCTGCCGAGTGGGTGTGAACTGCCCATCTTTACGTTAGCAGATGAGCACAAACTGTTTACACCACCTAGGGACTTGTGTACACATATATATACATGTACACACACTCACTACATGGTAGAGAAGAATCCCAAAGCTTTAGGGCAGGAAAAGTCCCAGAAATGGGAAGAGACTTGTCAGGATCAGACAGTGAGAGCAAGTTCATGAAAATTTAATTTGTTCTTTTCACCTACCTCCAAAGCCTAACTCACCCTGCCTTTTTAAAGCAGCTGATACAAACTGCATTAATATAATGAAGCTGGATGGATATGTGTTGAAATTAGAATATTCCCAAAACGGAGAGGGATGACTCAGCAATTGCTTGGCGATGAGACCCTTTTTTAAAAAAAATCATTTTATTGGGGATGCATACAACACTTATCACAATTCATACATACATACATACATACATACATACATAGTGTCAAGCACATTTGTTGCCATCATCATTCTCAAAACATCTGCTTTCCACTTGAGCCCCTGGCATCAGCAACTCATTTTTCCCCCTCCCTCCCCATCCGCCCCGCATGAATCCTTGGTAATTTACAAGTCATTATTATTTTGTTATATCTTACACTGTCCAATGTCTCCCTTCACCCACTTTTCGGTTGTCCGACCTCCAGAGAGGAGGTTATATATAGATCCTTGTAATCGGTTCCCCCTTTCTACCCCACCTTCGCTTCACCCTCCTGCTATCACCACTCTCACTATCGATCCTGAGGGGTTCATCTGTCCTGTATTCCCTGTGTTTCCAGTTTCCATCTGTACCAGTGTACATTCTCTGGTCCAGCTGGATTTGTAAGGTAGAATTGGGATCATGATAGTTGGGGGGAGGAAACAAAGAACTAAAGGAAAGTGGTATGTTTTATCATTGCTACACTGCACCCTGACGGGCTTGTCTCTTCCCCGCAACCCTTCTGTAAGGGTATGTCCAGTTGCCCACAAATGGCCCTTGGGTCCCCACTCTGCACTCCCCCTCATTCACAGTGATTGTTCCTTGATGCCTGATACCTGATCCCTTCGACACCTCATGATCACACAGGCTGGTGTGCTTCTTCTATGTGGGCTTGGATGCTTCTGTGCTAGATGGCCGCTTGTTTAGTTGGTGGGACTCTTATCTCTGCTTGTACCCACTTTTCTCCTTGAAGTTTTGTTATGGCCCTCTCAGTTAACTCAAATTGGATTTGTAAGAGCCCGAAATTCTGAGCACACATCCAAGGGAGGGTAATTGGACAGCTTCCTAAGTGCCCAGAGCCACTGACTTGCTTAAGGATTGTGATCCGTGAGTCCCTGTAGCATATACTTTCAGAAAGCAAACCACCAATCAAATAGTAATTGTTTCCTTCTGTGTGGGTTTCTCATTCCAAGAGCCTACGGAGCAAACAGGAAGTTGGCCCTTGGAGAAGTGTAAAGAAACCTGAAATGAGACACCAGCACTGCATTGTAACCACAGATGTGGTCACCCTTCAAACCTCATTCTCCAGCAGATTCCTGATTTCAGATATGTTATCCTGCTAGCCTTATAAACAATCCAAATGCCCTAGAAAGTTCACCATTTACACTGTATCTTCTAAAGTGGTTTTTTTTTTTTTTTCTGCTGAAAGAAATACAGAAATCCCTTTTTTGGCTATGTTCTCCCTGTTTTGGGGTGAAAAACAACAAAACAAAAAGCACTGTGCTTATGCAAAGAACACTCATTTATTTTAAAGAGCATTTAGAAAGACAAAACATCCTTTCTGGGTTATATCACATTTGAAAGGTCTGCCCCAATAGCCCAGGTCTGTGAGGAAGCCCAAGCACCTTCTCTCTTCAGCTATTCATTTAAGAACAAGTACCGACAGATATTGAGTGTCTCTTCAACCTCTACTGGATACGGGTGTGATGCTAGGAACTCGGCTAAGCATGACATGGGCTCTGCCTATAGCCCATTTCATAGCCCATAGCGAAGAGGTAAGATAAATAAATCATTAATACAAGTTTGAAAATGTAAATATGTCTAAGGCTATAGAGGTTTCTCAATTGGGAAGATTTAAAGAAATTCAATTTATTGACCTTTTAGCAAAATGGATATTTTAATTGTTTATTTCTGTCTAACAAACCAACTCAAAGCATAGTGGCATAAAACAACTGCAACCACTTTTTGGTTCACAATTTCATAATGTGGGTAATGACCATCAGGATGGCAGATACCTACTTTATACAATTTAGGTTGGTGTGGCTCCTCTGGTGCTGGGGAACCCAAGATGTTTTCACTTAGGTATCTGCCACTGCAGCTGGATGGCTGGGACGGTTAGGACTGTCTCTGTAGCAACGTAACTGAACTTTTTTTACATGATGGTTAAGGGCTGGCTAAAGAGAGAGGGAGAGTAGAGCTGCAGGGCTCTTGAAGCTCAGGCCACTTCTGCATTCCATTGATTGGGGCAAGTCACTAGGCCAGCCCAGACTCAATATCCACCTCCTGATGGGAGAGGAGTGGCCAGTGCACTTACCATGGCAGAACTTGAAGGACTTACTGGTGGACATCTGTGCAAACAACATACCACATTCATTTTTAAATATAAGCATTTTTATTCATCTAATCACAGCAGAGTGGCATCTGATTGCGTTAACTTGCATCCTTTGGGTTCTTGGTGTCCCCAGTAGTCTGTGTGAACTTCCTGCAGCCACAGTGTTGAACCTCTGACAAGTCCCTTCCTGTCATGCCTCCCTTAAGGTGGGGTAAGGATGAATTCTGTAGAACTTAGACTGTGAGTTTTGATGCAGAGGTAGGCTATGGTTGTTCCAGACTTCTTATCCACTTTCTCCTCTCAGTACCTTGCTTGTTTGCCTTGCTCAGGTTCTTGTCCATGGTGTCACCATTCTTACTGAGGCTCCCACCTCTCTCTCGTTACAGGAACTAAAACAGGTGCAAATATTAGCGGTGGTACCTGTGAGCCTGGAATATCTTCCCCAGCCGCCTACATGAAGCCCTTCCCAGTGCTCCATCTCATTGAAGACTTGAGGCTGGCCCTGGAGATGCTGGAGCATCCTCAGGAGAGATCAGCCCTCCTCAGCCAAATTCCATGCCAAACAGCTGTCTACATGAAGGAGTGGTTTGAGGAGAGCTTGGTGAGTAGTTGTCCATGGCTTGTTTGAGGAACCATTGAAGGACATAACTAGGTGGTCTATGGAATTTAACTCCTGACTGGGGCTGATGTTTTATCTGTATATCTTCTGGCCTGGCCTTCTTTACTTAAGTCTCATCTGGCTTTGCCCTGCCCCCCCCACCCCAGCCCTCCTGTCATACTTCCTAGGGATATAGAGCCCGGTCAAGAAACATCAACTACACATTTTGCTGACTTTTCCCTTAGAGAAAACTTGGCGTTTTTCTCCAGGGTTACATGTACTACTGGATGAGTTACAATTTCTGGCTGGAATGCCTAACATGCCTAACTCCTTCAGGGCCCCCTTTTTTACAATAAACTAGATCCTGGTCATCTCATTTATTCATTTACTGGTTCTGTGACCTTTCAGGTTTCCTTGTCTTGGAATTGCTTCCTTTCCCTCAAGTGCAATGTAGATTCCCTAACTCTCTCTTCTCTCTCAATCAAGCCAAGAGACCTGCTAGTCTCTAAGCCTTAGAGATAGGTTATAAAAGCTGAAAATGTAGACTGAAGGACAAACATCGTTGGAAAGGTCCTCCTAGTAGTGACTTCTGGGGAGAAGTCTCTGCAAGGGGGACAAATAGAAGTGGGCCAGCCCTTTCTTGAGTATGTAGGTAGACGAGGGGAAAGAAACTCCAAATAAACCATATTCTTGTTTCAAGCTCAATCAGCGAAGTTGATGGTTTTGGAAAGGTGCCTTGCCGAACACAGCTTGTACTCTTCAGGTCTACAGTTGAGTCACCCCTGCAGCTCAATGTTCCACCCAACAGTTAACAGACCTATAGGGGAACCAAGGAGCCCTAGTGGCATAGTGGGTTATGTGTTGGGCTGCTAACCACAAGGTCAGCAATTCAAACCCCTCAGCTGCTCCATGAAAGAAAGATGAGGCTTTCTGCTCATGTATGGTTGTAAATCTCAGAACCCACAGGGGCAGTTCTACTCTGTCCTATAGAGTTGTTAGGAGTCAAAGCTGACTCAATGGTAGCGAGTATAGGGGGGATAATAACACTAGGGAAGTATATACTCCTGAGAATAAGCAACCATTTGAACTAAAAATGGACAGCATTTGCCCAAACACAAAAGTTCAGAATGGTTAGGAGAGGAGGTGGAGTGGAAACAGAAAACAAAGGGAGGAAGTGGGGACAAATGGTGTTACATTATGGGGATTGCAATCAATGACATGAAACAAAATGTGTATCGACTGCTGAATAGAAAACAGCTTTGCTCTGTAAACCTTCACCCAGGTCACAATAAAGCTTTTTAAAAGAGAAGGGGGAGGGGAACAAAAAAATAAAGATCTTGCATTCAGATTTGAAGAGCTGTTGAGGCAATGCCCTCCTTTGAAAAGAAGCATCCTAAAAATTATTTGTATATATAAATCTTTTAGAGTAATTATGGATATCAGCAACCTGAATAGTTTACTTTTAGGGATCAGAAGTTTATATAAATATTCTAAGATATCAGGGCCAAATGTTAAAGTTTTAATTCTGGGCAGACAGTCTGTCTGTATTTTAGGTCTTGCAGACCTAAAGCAATTTTACAATCTAGCTGTACACACATTCCATTCTAAGTCCTATCTTTATGTAAACAGAATTCAAAGCAGTGAACAAGCTCACCAGGTGTTTTAGCTTTATACTTTGACTTAGAAGCTCTCCCTTCTCAGATTGTGATCTGTGGGTCAGCAGTGTCAGCATCCCTGGGGAGCTGTGAAAACTGGAGCATATGGGTCCCTCCCTCCCTAATACCTGCTGAGCCCCCCACCCACCCCAGTAATGCAGATGCACCCTCAAATTTGAGAAGCGCTGCTTTCAAACTCAGAGACTCATTTGCATTATTAAACCTTTTAAAACACGTAAATCACATGGAAACTTGGAATTGGAACTAAGAAGGCAACTGGAGGGATCAGGCCTGGCAGAGGAGTGTTTTTCACTTGTGACGTCAATGTGTCTCCACTGTCCTCTCCAGCCATACTGACTCTCATATTCCTCAGTTGCTGCTCTGTCATATCATTGGCCTGACACGGTCTAACTCTGCTTTGTGACATTGCTATCCCTTGGGATACTTTCTCCAGTTAAAGTGGCTCCATCACTAAAGGGGTTTACACATCACTAACCAGGTATGCAGGGCTTGGGTGGTGCCCAGAGTGAAATCACTGACTCTGGGAAGACCTCCAGGTCTCCATTCTTCTGCTTCACACTGCAGGGTGTTAGGAGATATGTCTAAGGAGATGCTAACAGTTGCAAGATGACTGCTTCCGCTCCTGGTAGTATGTTCTTATCCAGGCATAGCCATGTCTAAAAATAGCGAAGACTTTCTTTAATGTGTCCTTTAAAAGTTTTTTTAATCAGAAAGGAAAACCCTTCTCTGAAAAGCAGACTTCCCATTTGCTCCCAGGGGCCAGGATTTGTTCGCGTATGCTTGCCCTAGTTGCACAGGAGACTGAGAAAGTGAAGATTAGCACTTGCATTGCCCACAGTGAGAGTGGGCTCTGTCAGAAAGGGATGGTGATGAGAGGGGAGAATGGATGGCTCCTAGGAAGACTGTTCAGAGTGACGGCCACATCTCTTAGGGTTTTTATTGATTCTTCTTGTTAACCAACAGATTCTTTCCATGTTTGCCCATGGTTTTTGGTTTACCTTGAAAACTCAAATTTGAAGATGGGAATCTGAGTGGCCCATCTCATAAGTTTTGTGTAAAATGTTAAGTGTCAAAGAAATAGAAGTGGATGATCTATTTGAGTTTGAACACAATTGTGGATTAGCTGCCCTTGGGTCAGGTGTTTGCAAGGACCGTTTGACTAAGACCAAAGAGGAAAGGTCACGTGGTCAGAAATAGGGTCCTCGCTTGCTTGGCTGCTTGCCTGCCAGGGTCTGTGGTCTGTGGATATTGGCATAGATATTGGTACGTGAGATACATAGGGAAAACCTGCTGTGAAAGGCAGTGGAACATCCAGATATCTTTAGCCTAGACCAGTGGTTCTCAACCTTCCTCCTACCGTGACCCTTCAGTACAGTTCCTCATGTTGTGGTGACCCCCAAACATAAAATTATTTTCGTTGCTACTTCATCACTGTCATTTTGCTAGTTATGAATTGGGCGACCCCTGTGAAAGGGTCGTTCGACCCCCAAAGGGGTTGCCACCCACAGGTTGAGAACCGCTGGTCTAGAACCAGTGTCTGCATCTGAATTCTGTGCCTATTGACGAGAGTTTCAGGCTTTCAGGGAGAGTTTCCTAGAGTCCAGAGCCCCCAGAGAAGCCTCAGAGTGAGGCTGCCCTGTCCTGTGGTGTAGCAGGCTAGTTTTACCCTTGGAGATGGTGGGGCCTTCTTTTTTCTTCTTCTAATTGTGGTTCAAAGACACTTAGCAAGCCGTATGCCAACTCTGCAGTTTCTTACATCTACAATTGTGACCATTAGTTACATTCTTCAAGTTGTACAGCCATCCTCCCTATCAGAAAGGCCTTCTTTTCTATATAGTTTACCAGGTTTAGCTCAGAGCCAGTAGCTTATAGAGGATAAAGTCGAAGCCCATACTAGGGGGCTGAAGTGTCTCCGATGTCAGAACAGAGATGAGTTCTAGAAAGGAACAGCCTCCTTCCCCTCTTTGAGGCTCCTCCTAGACCCATGAGGTACAGGATAATGCCCTCTGAGAGCATACAGCCATATCTGGACAAGATCCTCTGAGCCTTGCTAGATGGTCCTGAAGGCAGGAAGGAGAGAGGTGCTTTTCAGTGGCCCTGAGTACTGTGGACACCTTAGTGGCAAGAAGTGTTTGGCATCCCTATGACTGTGCTCAGGACTTGGGGTGCACTTGAGTAAGACTTTCTCATTAGTCCTTCACACTTGCTTGGCTAGGCTTGATGCAGGCTGGCTGGGTATATCTAGGACTAAGTTGGTTGATGGAGCCCGTAGAAGGGCTAGTCCAGTGTGCAAGGGACATCTAGCTAACTGGAGAGAGTGATCCCAGCCTGATGCACAGAATGTTACCTAGTGGCGCAGGACATGCCCAGCAGATCACAGAGCAACAGTGTCTCCATATAGACTAGCAAAGGGAACTTCTCTAATAGCCCAAAATGTACCCAACTCTATCGGTTCCACCCCAAGACCGGCAGCCAGTTGGTCTTGCTATTTAATGGTGTTTGATATGACCAAGGGAATCCTTGGTAAAGGCTGGCAGCTTCAAGGCCTCAAGATGAAGCCAGAGGAAAGGTGAGCAGGGCAGGGCAGAACTTGGGTTCCAGAGTGAAGGGGAATGGTTGGTGGAGAGCCAATAGAGGGACTGTACTCTGGACACCTCTTTGATGAAGCCTTGGCTATCCAGGCTTTCGTGTGTGCGAGCTAATGTCTTGGTCCCGCAATGTGGGCTGGTGGAGGCAAATGGAACCCTAATGAGGTGGTGTGGGAGGTTGAATGTATGTTGGAGGAGGAGTCAAAGGCCATTGTTCTACCTCAGACTTACATCTGGCTCTGGGTAAGTCTCTCTTTCCCTTCTTAGGGACTCAGCTGGAAATGACAGCTGGGTATGCCAGTCTGGAAAGTCCAGCTGTTGAGCACCTTGCTAGTGGGTATCAGCCTATGTTCCTTCAGCCAGAATTTTTGGTTTCCAAAGTAGAGAGGGTTCAGAGGGCCTCTCCAGCTGAAGCAGCCACTATGCCATCTAGGGTGCAGTGGCGAAGGTGTCCTGAGTAGCAGGCAGCATTTGCTGGGCGCCTTGCACCTGAGACGTGAAAAAGCTTCTAGGGTTTGTGCTCCCTTTGACGTCCCAGCAGTCTGGGGAGGCGGTCTCTGTCACCTTTCTAACTAGCCTCTCGAGAAACTAAGGAGATCAGGCCTAGGAGGCCCGGTTGCCCCGTGTGCCAGCTCCAACCCACATGGTCACCGACTGCAGCTTCTTCAGCCCCAGCTCTTCCAGCAAAGCCCGCACTTCTCTGCCAGATTGAAACCCTTCCTTTTGGCCAAGGCAGTCA